TCTGTCTCCTCCTCCTCCTCCTCCTTCTCGTCTCCTCCTCCTCCTCCTCCTCCTCCTCCTCCTTCTCCTCCTCCTCCTCCTCCTCCTCCTCTTCTTCCTCCTCCCCCTCCTCTCCTGTGGCTCTCCGTGGGGGGCGGCGGCGGCGCTGCCGGCGTCGGTTGGTGGCGCTGCCGCAGGGCCAGTCCGGCCGCCGCTTCTCTGGTGTGCCCCCTCGTGTTCTGTTTTGTTGTGTTTTTTCTCTCGTGTGTTTCCCCTTGTGTGCCCCCTGTGTTCTGTTTTTGTGCTTTGTTGTGTGCCCCTCGTGTGCCCCTTGTGTTTTGTTGCGTTTTCTCGTCGTTCTCTCTGTATGCCCATATGCATCGGAGTGAGGGGGCCGAGCGGTCACTCACGGTCCGTCGGTCGTAGGCGCATCGGGGAAGTGGGGTTCCGCGATGCGGATTATCGTTGGGCTGGTGTTTGACATGGCTTGTTAGTGGTTCAGTGTTTCTGTCTGTGGGTTTGTTTGTTTGCTTGATTGTTTGTCTGCTTGTTTGTCTGTGTGTGTCTGTGCGTGTGTTTGCTTGCTTGTTTGTGTGTTGTTGTTGCTGTTGCTGTTGCTGTTGCTGTTGCTGTTGCTGTTGCTGTTGCTGTTGTTGTTATTGTTGTTGTTGTTGTCGTCGTCGTCGTCGTCGTCGTCGTTGTTGTTGTTGTTGTTGTTGTTGTTGTTGTTGTTGTTGTTGTATTGTCATTGCTGAAGAACAAATATTGTTGATCCCCACTCCGGTGACCATTGTATTTTTCAATTGAAGTGCTTCTCCCGGGGCTCGCGCCTGGTTTTTTATCCAGGGAAGTCACGGGGTTCAAACTGTGTCGTTGGCCCCCAGTTTACAACAACAGCGGCTCCCGCCTGATACTTCCTCACAACGTATTCCCAAATCGCGCTCTCGCGCTGGATTTCCTCACACATTGTATACGAATCACGCTCTTGCGTGGGACTTCCTCGCAATTTATTCAGGCGATGCGCCCTCGGTGCTCAGGAATCACGCTCTCGCTTTAGCTTTTCTCTTGATTTACTTGGGAATCGCGCTATCGCTCGAGACTTCCTCGCGACTCATGCAGGACCCACGCTTCAGCAACCCGCCTGCTCGATCTGATCGCCTGGGCCAGCCTTCCCGACCTGCCCGCTATGGGTCTGCCCACCCGATCTGCCCGTCTGGTTCTACCACTTGGTTTTTGCTCCTCGCCCCCCTCCTGCTGATTTCTCTCGTGCTCCATTCTTCTCCCTGCCCCTTCCACCCGTCATCTCTTCCCTTGTTTTAGGGGCTGCACTAAATGCACGTGGCAGGTAGGGAAGATATACCCCCAAGGAGGTACGATCGAAGACGACGAGGGCGGGTACCGAGGGTTTTGGATATACGTATTACTTTGCACGCGAATAGATAAGAGCGAGCAGTCTTAAATTGATTGTTGTTGTTGTTGTGGTTGTTGTTGCTGCTGCTGTTGTTTTTCTGGTAGTTGTCGTCGTCCCACTCGCGACCCACCTCCGACCTACCCCGCGACCCACCCGCGACCAACTCCGCGACCCACCCGCGACCCATCCCGCGACCACCCCGCGACCCACCCCGCGCTCGCCCCCTCGCTCTTGTCCACAACTGCGGGGTGCCACATATGAGAATCTGTCCTTCTGTACCCCTGCCTCTCCCTCTATTGAGCAGGGACCGACCGTCCCGGCATTTCTATAGTCATACCACGAAATGTTCTTAGAGCCCAGGATGTTCTAAGAACAAAAACAATGTTCTTAGAACATAAACCCGATGTGTTAAAACAAGGCAGTCCCAGCCAGAACTGTTCTGAGAACATTCCGTGGGAGCCACAGAAAGTTCTCAGAACATGGTTTGGTAGGGCTACGGGCGAGCCAGGACGCTTCGCCACTGCTCGGCTCTAGGCTTTCCGCGCGTCGGCCGACTCGGCCCTCGGGCGCCTCTGCGGGGCCCGCGCGCGCGCCCGCTCGTCCTCCTCCTCCTCCTCCTCCTCCTCCTCCTCCTCCTCCTCCTCCTACTCCTCCTCCTCCTCCTCCTCTCCTCCTCCTTCCTCTCCTTCCTCCTACCCGTCCTCTCCTCCCCCTCCCCCTCCCCCTCCCCCTCCTCCCCCATCTCCTGTTCGTCCTCCTCCTCCACGCGCCAGGAGCTGCGTGCGCGGCGTCGGGCTCGCTCCGCCTGGGCGGCGCGGCGCGCGCGAGGGCAGCGCGCCCCCTGCGCGCGCGGGCGGACGGGCACCGGCCCGACGAGGCCCCCACCACCGGAGGGTTTCCAAAGGGGGGTTTTGGGGGGAGGGGGGTCTTCCAGGAGGGCTCCCCCAGAGGGGCGTCGCCCCCCCTGTTTTCCGCCGAGCGCGCTCCGCTGCTCGCAAGGTGCCTACTCGCAAACGTCCGGAATACACACGTCTGCGCTCTGATGTAGTTTATCGTGCGTCCCCCGCGGGGGATCCAGGCCACTTGCGAGCACTTCCTTTGCGAGCAGTGGAGAACGCGCTCGTCGAGCCCCGACGAGGTTCCGAGGCTCCCCCGGCGGGCTCTCTGGCAGGCCCCCTCCCCCGAAAACCCCTGTCCGAACCCTCTGGCTCATCAGGCCGCGCCTCGCCGCCTGCCCGGGCCTCCCGCGAGGGGCCGTGGCCGCACGGGCCCGCGGCGGCCGGCGGCGCGGCGGCTCGCGGCGGAGCGGCGCCCCGCGCCGCGGGGGGGCGCTCTCTCCGCGCGGCGTGCCGCGGCGGGCGGCCCCCGCGGTGCGCCCTGTGCGCCGCGAGCCGGCAGCGCGCCCGGCCGCCGCGCGCGGCGGGGGGCCGGAAGAGCTCGGGGGCGCCGCGCGCCATCGCTTGGGCGTCCACTCTCCCCGGGCAGGTGCCCGACCTCGCGCGTCGGTTTCTCTCTTGTTCGTCGGGTGAGCCCATCGGCTCCTCGATGGTCCTCGCCGAGGAGCTCTGGAGCGCAGCATCCAGGAGCCAGAGGAGGTCTGGCCATCCAGCCTCTCCGGGGATCCGCCACCGTGCCCCGAGGCACCCCACGGAGTGTCCTTAGGTCCCTTTGGGCACTGTGTGCCCTGTGAGAGCGAAGGTGGCTGCCTTCGTCGGTCAGAACAAGAACTTCCCCTCCTCCTCCAACCTTCTCTCCTCTTCCTCTTGCCTCCTGCTGCTCCCTCCCTCTCTCCTTCCTCCTCCTCCTCCTCCTCCTCCTCCTCCTCCTCCTCCTCCTCGCCCTCGTTCCTCCCCGTCATTTGCTCCTCCCTTGGCCCTCGCTTCACTCCTCTACCCAACCGCCTCCACCCCGATCCGTCCTCCGCGACCCTCCTCCTTCCTCCCCTCCGCATCCATACTTCCTCCCATCCATATTCTGCTCCTGCCCTTCTTCCCTCCTCCCAATCCCTCTTCTGCCCTCCTCTTCGTCCCTCCCTACTCGTTCCCCTCTCATGCCTCCTTCTCCGCATAACGCCTCCTTCTCCTCCATCACCTTCTCCTCCAGCTTATTACTATCCTCCTCCGCCTCCTTTTCCTGCGCCCTTCCACATACCCCTCTTCCTTCTCTTCATCCATTCCTCCCCGCTCTCCTCTCCTACTTCCTCCGAGTCCTCCCCCTCATGACTTTCGTCTTCCCTCCCCGATCCCCCTCCTCACTGTCCTTCTCCTCATACCCCTCCTCCCCAGCCCTCCCTCTTCGTTTACTTCTCCTGTTTCCTTATGTTATCCTCCTCTTCTTCTCCTCCTCCTCCTCCTCCTCCTCCTTTCCGTCTTCCCTTCTTCCCTGCCCGGTACTACCCGACAGGCTTCCCCTGAATCCTGCCCCATTCCCCTCCCCCTCCTCCTCCTCTTTATCCTCTTCCTCCTCATCCGCATCCTCATCATCATCACCATCATCATCCTCATGATCGTCACCATCATCATCACCATCATCATAATCCTCATCATCATCAGCGGCAGCAGCATCAGCATCACCATCACCATCACCATCACCATCACCATCACCATCACCATCATCATCATCATCATCATCATCATCATCATCATCATCATCATCATCATCATCATCATTATCATCATCATCATCATCATCCTCATCATCATAATCATAATCATCATCATCATCATCATCATCATCATCATCATCACAAGCATCACCATCATCATAATCACCATCAGCATCACCATCGTCATCACCATCATCATCAGCATCGTCATCATCAGCATCATCACCAGCATCATCAGCATCATCATCGACGTCAGCATCTGAATCCGAATCCGCATCATCAACATCATCATCAGCATCATCATCATCATCATCATCCGAATCATCATCACCAGCATCAGCATCATCATCAGCAGCAGCATCATCGTCACCATTACCATCACTATCACCATCACCATCACCAGCATCGCCATCGCCATCTCCTTCTCTCTCACCACCACCACTACCATCATCATCCAAACGATCACGGTCAACATCACCATCACCACTACCATCGTCATCATCATCACCATCATCATCAACGTCTCAAGCACCATCAGCATCATCAGCATCATGAGCAGTATCATGGACATCATCATCACCACCATCATCATGCTCAGCATCATCACCATCAACATCAGCATTAGCATCATCATCATCATCATCAGCACAACCAGCATCAGCATCAGCATCAACACCAACATCACCAGCATCACCACCAGCATCAGCATCACCAACATCATCATGAACAGCATCATCATCAGCAGCACCATCGCCATCCCAATCAGAATCATCATCATCATCATCCACATCATCATCATCATCACCAGCATCAGCATCGGCATTCGCATCAACAGCGTCATCACCATCATCATCAACATCAGCATCAACAACATCATCCTCATCCTCATTATCATTACCACCACCGTCATCATCATCATTAGCATCCGCATCACAATCCGCAGAATCATCATCACCACCAGCATCATCGGCATCATCAGCACCAGCATCACCATCATCATCACCATCATCAGCATCACCAGCATCAGCGTCATAATCATCAGCAGCACGAGCATCGTCATCATCACCATCATCAGTATTGCCACCATCATCAGCATCATCATCATCATCACCATCATCATCATCATCATCATCATCATCGTCAGCATCATCGTCATCATCATAGTGACCATCATCACAGTGATCATCATCATCAACAGCAGCATGATCATAATCATTATCATAGTCATCATCATCAGTATCATCATCGTCAACAGCATCGGCATCATCATCATCATCAACATCAGCATCATCGTCATCATCATCATAATCAGCATTGCAGTCATCATCAGTAGCATCGTCGAAATCGCCATCATCATGGTCAACATCATCATCATCGTCATCATCATCGTCGTCGTCCCATCCCTCCTCGCTATCCTCTCTTGTTTCCTACGAATCCTCCCCCTCCGCTCCGTTCCCCCTTCCCCCCGATGCACCTCCCCGCTATGCTGCCCTCGATCCTCTTCCTCCTCCTCCTCTTCCTAGTCCTCTTGCTGCCCTCGATCCTCCTCCTAATCCTCCTAATCCTCCTAATCCTCCTCCTCCTCGTCCTCCCCCCATCCCTCCCTGCCTGTTTTCCTGTCCCGCTTCCTGCTGGTCCTAATCTTCCTCCTCCTCCTCCTCTTCCTCCTCTTCCCCTTCCTCCCCCTCGTTCTCGTCGGCCTCCTCGTCCTCCTCCTCCTCCTCCTCCTCCTCTCCTCCTCCTCCTCTCCTCCTCCTCATCATCATCATCGTCATCGGGTATCCTCCTCCTCCTCCTCCTCTACCTCCTTCTCCTCCTCCTGCTCCTCCTCCTCCTCCTCCATCTCCTCCTCCAACTCCTCCTCCTCCTCCTCCTGCTTCTCCTCCTCTCCTTACCCCCTTCGCCTCCCCCATACCCCTCCTCGTCTTGCCTCTCCTCTTTCCTCCGACGCCTCCCCATCACTCCCTGCCTGCTCTCCCTGCTCACTTCATATAAGTCATCCTCCACATGTCAATGTTCCCACTCCCTCCCCAATGTTCCTCCTCGTGTGCGTTCCTCCTCCTCCTCCTCCTCCCCCCCTCCTCCTCCGCATCCTTCCTTTCTCGTTCTCCTCTACGACTTCCTACCAATCCTCCACCTTCGTCCCATTGATACCCCCTGCCAATCACCGTCCTTCCCTGATGATCCAGCTCGTGTCGCTTCCCCTCGAAGCTCCTCCACATCCCTGTCCTCCCCTCCTCGTTCTCCTACCCTGCTTCAAACTAGCCTTCCATCTCCTCCTCCGCCTCCTCCTCCTCCTCCCCTCCTCCTCCTCTTCTCCTCCTCCTCCTCCCCCTCCTCCTCCTCCTCCTCCTCCCTCCTCTCCTCCTCCTCCTCCTCCTCCCTCATTTCGTCTTCCCTCCTCCTCCTTCTCCTCCTCCTCCTCCTCCTCCTCCCCATCCTCCTCATCCTCCTCCTCCCCATCCTCCTCTCATTGTTTCTCGTTCACCCCCGATACCCATACTCGTCTCGCGTTACATCCATCATCCTCTTCCTCCATCCTCTTTCTCCACCCCCTCTCTCTCCACCCCGTCCGTCCCTCGCCGTTGTCCTCTCAGATGTCTTGCTGGTTCTGCCCATCCTTTCCTTGTTCCACTCCCCCTATACACATCCTTGTTTCGCTTCCCCTCCATCCTGCTGCTTCCCCTCCTCCTGCTCCACCTGCGCCTCCTGCTCCTCATCCTGCTCCTCCTCCTCGTCCTCCTCCTCCTCCTCCTCCTCTTCCTTCTCCCCGTCCCTCCCTCCTCGTTCTCCTGCCCTGCCCCCTGCAAGTCATCCACCCCTTCTTCCCCTCTTCCCCTACCCGCCCCACGCCCCCTCCAAGCCCTCCTCCTCGGCCCCCTCCACCTTGCTGTATCCCTTATCCTCGCCCCCCTTCCTGGAGTCCTTGGGGGAGATGCCACTGTCGTAGGCCTCGGAGAACATTCTCGCGGCGTCGTCCAGCGCGCCGCCGAAGCGCGGGCCGATGGTGAGCAGCCCGCTGGTGAGGGCCGAGACCAGGTCCTGGCCAGGAGGGCGCGGGTCTCCTCCTCCCCCTCCTCCTCCTCCTCCTCCTCCTCCTCCTCCTCCTCCTAACTTGCTCCTCCTCCTCCTCCTCCTCCTCATCGTCCTCCTCCTCCTCCTCCTCCTCTTCTTCCTCCTTCTCCTCTTCCTCCGCCAGGGAGAAGGCCTTCTCTGAAAAAGGCGGCGGAGCTCCTCAGAAGCCCTCGCGCCTTCCGACACGTTTTTTTGTCTGCGTATTCTGGGAAGGCTTGGAAAACTTCGCTTGCCATCGCTCGGACGTCCATTCCCCGTGCCTTTTTGTTTTCGTGCGTTTTGGGGGGTTCGATGATCAAAGATGCTCCTCGATGGTCCCCACAGAGAAAAAGTACGCACGCCCGAGCGATGCCAAATTCTCAGAAGGTCGGGGGAACTTCCGAGCCTTCTGGGAAGACCCGCCCCTTCTCACTCCCCCCCCCCCGGGCTCGCCGCCGACATCCGCGCCAACCCCGCCCGTCACCCTTGATGCTGCCGAAGTGGCAAGCGCGCCTGCGCGAGCACGGCGATGGAGGCTCCTCTGTCGAGTGCTCCCGTGGTCGTAGAATCCGCGAAGAATGCGGAAGGCGTCTTCATGCCGCCCTTGCGAATGAACGAGAGCAACACGCGCGCACGGCGATGGAGGCTCTTCTGTCGAATGCTCCCGTGGTCGTAGAATTCGCGATGAAGGCGGACGGCGTCTTCGTGTCGCCCTCGCGGATGGCATTGTAGAGCGTCCCCCAGAGTGCTGCTGACCGGCAGGATGATATGGTCGGGCCGGCGGCATATTGGACAGAGTGTGTCATGCTCTGCTGCCTCACAGAGAAATGTGTCAGGGACAAGCGAGCTCGACACCACAACCTCGTTGATGGGGCCCCGAGCGGACAGAGGATACAAGCAGCTGCCGCACAGGGGCTCCCAGGCTTACCGAAGAACGGCCCCCCGTACGGGCATCCAGCTGGCTGCTCAATCTTGCAATCTGGGCACTGCGGCAGATGGTGGGGCCGACCGTGCTGGCCCTGCGACGGCAGCAGCGAGGCGGCGGTGCCGCTGCCGCTGCTGCCGATGGCACCACCGGCGGCAGCGACTGCAAGCGGCCTTTGGAACGCGCACGTCGAAGCTTGACGCGGAGCTCCTGGCTCTGCCTTCCCCTCCCTCTCCTGCCTTCCCCCACCCCCCCGCACGCCTGAGGCTCCCTCGAGGTGGAAGGGCAAGGAGCGGGAGAGGGACCAGCACGAGGGGGGAGAACGGGGAACCGACTATCCCGTGCAAGCCAAAGGTCAGGCGTGCCACCCTACAGGCGGATTTTTGAAGAACGATAAAAAATGGTCAACAGATGCTCAGAAAAATGCTCAAACATACTACAAAGGTAGCCCCCCCGACTATTTGGGGACTATTTTTGAACATTTCCCCTGTAGAGGGACAGGCCCGACTTCAGCCAAGGGGGCGGTGGCAATGCTACCTGTGAGCAGCAGGGTGAGGAAGAGGATGCGCAGGACGAGGAGGAGACTGCAACGAGACCAGAAATCCGCCGCCTGCCGTCCGTGGCCGTGCCCCGATGCCTCCCGGACAGAGAGGACAGCCAAGAACCCGAGCGAGGGGGAACGTTGGGGGGGAAGGGCCAGCTCTGGAGGAAGAGATAGCGGGAGCGCTAAGGGTTTATGCTTCTGACGCCGCTTTTCCTTCCTCGAAGCTCAGGGGGGGGGGGGGGACGGGACGGAACACTCGCCTGGGATCGGCGATGGCTCGGGGGGAAGGAAAGGGGGAATAGCAAAGGGTAGGGTAGAGAGCCAGCTTACGTGGCTGATTTTCCAAGCGCCTCCAGGCGCCGGGAGGCGCCCATGCATCGAGGAATGGGCCCGGCGGCGGGGCCGAAACCAGCTGCGAGCAGCAGATTTCGTACCCCCCCCTTTCCCTCCCCTCCTCCTCCCCCTCCTCCTCGATCATCCTTTCACTCCTCCTCCTCCTCCTCCTCCTCCTCCTCCTCCTCATCCTCCTCCTCCTCCTTCCTCCTCCTCCTCCTCCTCTCCTCCTCCTCCCCTACCTCCCTCCTCCCTCCTCAACTCCTCCCTCCTCCCCTCCTCCCCTCCTCCCTCCTCCTCCTCCTCCTCCTCCTCCGCCTCCTCCTCCGTCTCCTCCTCTCCTCCTCCTCTCCTCCTGCCTCCTCTCCTCCTCCTCCTCCCCCTCCCTCCCTCCTCCTCCTCCTCCCTCCTCCGCCTCCTCCTCCTCCCCCGCCCCCTCCCCCCTCCCCTCCCCCTTCCTCCTCCTCCTCCTCCCTCCTCCTCCTCCTCCTCCTCCTCCTCCTCTTCGCCTCCTCCTCCTTCCTCCTCCTCCTCCGCCTCCTCCTCCTCCTCCTCCTCCTCTCCTCCCCCTCCTCCCCCTCCTCCCCTCCTCCTCCCTCCTCTCCTCCTCCTCCGCCTCCTCCCCCTCCTCCTCCTCTCCTCCTCCTCCTCCTCCTCCTCCTCCTCCTCCTCCTCCTCCTCCTCCTCCTCCTCCTCCTCCCCCTCCTCCTCCTCCTCCTCCTCCTCCTCCTCCTCCTCTCCTCCTCCTCCTCCTCCTCCCCTCCTCCTCCTCCTCCTCCTCCTCCTCCTCCTCCTCCTCCTCCGCCTCTCCTCTCCTCTCCTCCTCCTCCTTCCTCCTCCTCCTCCCCCTCCTCCTCCTCCTCCTCCTCCTCCTCCTCCTCCTCCTCCTCCTCCTCCTCCTCCTCCTCCTCCTCCTCCTCATCCTCCTCCTCCTCCTCCTCCTCTCCTCCTCCTCCTCCTCCTCCTCCTCCTCCTCCCCTCCTCCTCCTCCTCCTCCTCCTCCTCCTCCTCTCCTCCTCCTCCTCCTCCTCCTCCTCCTCCTCCTCCTCCTCCTCCCTATTCCCCCCCCTTTCGTTCGGCCCGAGACACGTCGCCGATAGGTCGGCGACAGGCCGCCCCCATGGCGAGGCAGCGCGTTCCTGGCCGGGGCTGGGCTCCAAGGGGCCCCCATCGGCGGCGCGTGGGAGACTGCGGGCCGATGCAGCTGATAGGCCTGCTTCCCACCACCACCATCAGTTGGAGGGGGAGGAGGAGGAGGAGGAGGAGGAGGAGGAGGAGGAGGAGGAGGAGGAGGGAGGAGGAGGAGAAGGGAGGAGGAGGAAGGAGGAGAAGGAGGAGGAGGGAGGAGAGGATGGCGAAGGGGAGGAGGAGGAGGAGGAGGAGGAGGGAGGAGGAGGAGGCGTGAGGAGGGAGGAGGAGGAGGACAACGACGACGAAGAGAAGAAGGACGAGGACGAGGACGAAGAGGAGGAGGAGGAGGAGGAGGAGGAGGAGGAGGAGGAGGAGGAGGAGAAGGAGGACGACGACGACGAAGAGAAGGAGGAGGTAGAGGAGGAGGAGGAGGAGGAGGAGGTGGAGGAGGAGGAGGAGGACCCCATCCCCCTCCAACTTATGGTGGTGGTGGTGGGAAACAAGCCCATTTGCATCCCCCCCCCCTACAGTGGGGGCGCGCATCAAGAAACCCCCTTCCGCAGCACTGTAAAGCGTGGCGCCCTGAGCGACCCGCGAGGGCCTTGGGCTCTCTGGGCTACCCCCCTGGCGACCTCTGGCCAGAAGAATTGCGGCCACTCGGCCCCCTGAGCCAAACAAATACAGTGGGGGCGCGCATCAAGAGACCATCTGCTTGTCGTCGGGGTATCCTGGGTTTCTTCGCTCCGCGCGCTGTGCGGTGACTTCCCGCAACCGTTGAAGAAACTGCTGCGTTCAGGGTGCTCCGGGTTTCCCCTCAGGTGCACCTCGCGCGCGGGTCTTCAAGGTTGGGTTTCTTGCGAGGGTTTCTTGCGGCCGCGCCCGCACTGTACAGTCGAAGCGCTGTCAGAAGGAACCCCAGAACAATGAACTAAACCCCTGTTCCATCAGTTTAACTTCGATTTCACATAGTATACCTCAGGGGCACCTAGGACAAAGTGTAAACCAACTAAGGAACACTGAGCCCCTCCCCAACGGAAAGGGTTCCTTATTCAGCGGCCCGACTGTAAGCCCATCCCCCTCTAGCGCAGAGTCGAACCTGAGACAGAAGAGCATCCCTCAAGAACGCGAGACTCTCCGCCGGCCACAACGCACAGAACATCCAAGGGTTCACAAGAACAGCACCCAACGAACACGAAGAACATTAGCGTGCCCTACCTCGATCTTATACCTCGGCCCGAGTGTACCCGCCCCCCTAGGCCTATCTTCCCCCCTGGCCTCCTCCTCCTCCTCCTCCTCCTCCTCCTCCTCCTCCTCCTCCTCCTCCTCCTCCTCCCCCTCCTCCCTCCCCCTCCTCCTCCCCCTCCTCCTCCGCAAGAGCCTCGATCGCCTGCACTTGAAGAGTGGCCCTTGGCAGCGACCTTCTCGTGCGCGGCCTTCGGGGCGCCCGCGGGGAGCCAGGACTTTCTGGAGCACGCGGGCCGCTGCCGGGGCCACCCCCCCTTCGAGCCCACACCAGCAGGTCCCTCGGGCGAAAGGCCGAGGCGGAGGACGAGGTGGTGGGGGAGGAGGCTGTGGACGAGAAGGTGGGAGAGGACGAGGAGGTGGAGGAGGAGGAGGAGGAGGACGAGGAGGAGGAGAAGGAGGACGAGGAGGAGGAAGAGAGGAGGAGGAGGAGGAGGAGGAGGAGGAGGAGGAGGAGGAGGAGGACGAGGAGGACGAGGACGAGGAGGTCGAGGAGGACGGCGAGGAGGACGGCGAGGAGGACGGCGAGGAGGACGGCGTGGAGGACGGGCTCTTACGATTGCCCGACTCGATCTCTGACTGGCGGCGGCGGCGGCGAGCGACGACGCCGGAACGCCCTGGAAGTCCTTCCCGGCCCTCGCCGTCACGATGGTGTTGTGGGCCCCGCTGACGGCGGGCCCGTGGTCCGCGGTGACCATGAGGACCATCTCGATGAATTTGGTGCCTTAGGCCCTGAGGCTCCAAATGATCCTCGATCCTCCGCCTCCTAGGCCCTAAGTCTCTAATGAGGACCACCTCCTCCTGATCCTCGACCCTAAGGCTCAGGGTCGAGGATCAGGAGGGGGATGCGTGCCCAGGGAGCCCCGTGGGGCGGAGGAGGCGGACGAGGAGGGGGAGGACCAGTGCAAGCCCAAGACGCAGCAACGGTGCTGCAATAGACCCTCCCCCCAAGATCCCTCCTCACAGGTCCCTACAAGAACTCGTTTTCATTGCGGGAGGTGCCCCATTGGAAGACAATCGTTTGAGACACCTCGATCGCACCAAACGTCATTCCTGGGAGTTCAACGCCACGAATCAACGTGACTGCTGCGCCCTGACAATCCCAAATCGCGCAAGCACACTACTTCTGGGAATTCAACACCGCGAATCAACATTACTTTTGCGCCCTGACAGTCCCAAACCGTACCAGAACACCGTCCCTGGGACCTCAACCACACGAGTCCTTGAAACTGCCGCAAACTTTGCAAACGAATGTGCGGGGCGCATACGCGAGAACAGCATTTTGAACAGGAAGGTCATCCATCCTTGAAGCTGCTGCACACTTTGAAAAACGAGTGTGCGCGGCGCTAAGGCGAGAGCCACATTGTGAAAACCGCCCACCCTCCATCCTTGAAGCTGCTGCGGACTTTGAATACGAATGTGCGCGGCGCGAAGGGCGAGAACCATACTTTGAAAGCCACCCGCGCTCCATCTTTGAGGCTGTGCCTGTGAAGTTGAAGACGGACGTGCGAGGCGCTGGAGCGAGAACCACATTTTGAAGACAACCCACCCTCCATCGCTGAAGCTGTTGCAAACGTTTCAGACGAATGCGCCCAACGCTAAGACGAGATCAGCATTCTAAAAACGGCCTGCCCTCCATCCCTGAAGCTGTTCATCGTACACGCTGCAGAAACATAAACAGTGAGAAAGTCTCAAACCAAATGCCTGGCCCGCCCTACCAACACGTCTTGAGGGGCGACAGGGAGGAGATTTGCCTAAGAAGCGGAGGAGGAGGAAGAGAACGAGGAGGAGGACAAGGAGGAGGAGGAGGAGGAGGGAGACATATACAAGTGGCACGTGTGTGCCCAGGCTCATACAAAAAACTGAAGTGGCGTTTGAAGCAGGAGTGAAATGCAACAGCGAAGTCGCACTCGAGCGCAAGTGGGGTTGCCACACCTTGCGATGTGTGTACCAGGGCCCCCCCAGGAAGCCTCAGGAGGCCCGACTTGGATACAAGAAGAGGCTCCAGGAGGCCCCAGGATTGTGAGTGTTGTGTGTGTGATGTGTGCTCTGTGTTGTGCGTGCTTTTTGTGCGTTGAAGGTGTTGTGTGTGTGTGTGTGTGTGTGTGTTATGTTTGTCTAGCGTGTGATGTGTTGGGCGTGATTTGTGTCTCTGTGTGCGCATGTAGTTCTGAGGCCCCGGGAGGCCCCAGGAGGCCCCAGGCGGCCTCAGGCGGCCCCGGGAGACCCCAGGAGGCTTCAGGAGGCCCCAAGAGGCTCCAGGAGGCCCCAGGAGGCCCCAGGAGGTTTCAGGAGACCCCCAGGAGGCTCAGAGGCGGGGTCTGGGGTACCAGAAGGTTCAGAAAGCACCAGGAGGCCCCAGGAGGTTCCAGGAGGCCCTCAGGAGGCTCCGAGGCGGGGTCTGGGGTACCAGAGGGTACGTCGGGGCTCGATTCTGGGAGGATGTTTCAGGCGAAACCGTCATTATCTGAGAATCGGGGTAACACTTATTGAAAGTACCATGCGTTTTTGAAGGTATTATGTTAACATGTTGAACTTCCAATGTGTGTTTGGACCCTGACGTCACGATCTGCGTGAGGGGCGGCACCGATTTTCAGAATTTCGAAGATGTCCCTAGCGAAACGGCCAGACAAATCGCGAACGCCCCGCGTACGCATTAATCGCCTCTGAGCTCTACTCCCTCGGAGAGGTGCGTATGATAATATATATATATATATATATATATATATACACACACTTATATATATATATAATTGCAGGAATCGTGGGGACAAATAATGGGGGTGGCACTGAAGGAGGAGGAGGCGGAGGAGGAGAAGGTTTGTAAATCATGGGGAAGCAGGAGAGGTAGGTGGAAAAGGGCAAATTGGGGAGGGTGAGTAGCAATGTAATGAACACGAAGGAGGGGAAACGAGTACGCAGGAGCATCAAGACTACGCCGAAAACGAAAGGGCGGATCTCCTCCTATCACCCATCAACCTGTTCCTTCTCTCTCCACTTCCTCCTTGTTTTTTCCCCAAGCAGCGTTTGCACTTAGGGGTTCCTATGTGTTGTTTAAGGGACTGGGTTCGTTTGTCGGGCCGCCGCCTTGTTGCCACCGTCGCCGCCCCGTCGCCCCCCGTCGCTTGGGTTCGTTTGTCGGATCCGCCGCCTTGTTGCCGCCGTCGCCTTCTCGCCGCCGCCCGTCGCCTGGGGCCGTTTATCGGAAACGCCGCCTTGTTGCCGCCGTCGCCGCCCCATCGCTGCCTCGTCGCCGCCCGTAGTGTGGGCTCGTTTGTCGGGCCCGCCGCGTCGTTGCCGCCGTCGCCGCCCCCGTCGCCGCCTCCTCGCCGCCCGTCGTATGGCTTCGTCTGTCGGGCCCGCCGCCTCGTTGCCGCCGTCGCCGCCCCGTCGCCGCCTCGTCGCCGCCTGTCGTCTGGGCTCGTCTGTCGGGTCACAGGCCTTGTTGCCGCCGTCGCCGCCCCGTCACCACCCCGTCGTCACACCAAGGACCGCGCCAAATAGATTGCACCACGTAGGTTGCACCATAGACTGCGCGCATCATACGTTGCACCATGTACATTGCTTTACATCGCCTGCGCAAGATAGACGGCGCACCGCATGGATGGGGCACCACATATATTCCCATTGCCAAACAGAACGTAATTTCTACCCCCCTGGGCTTACCACCTCCCCTTTTCGTGTTGCAATTTACATATGATCCTTCCCCATCGTCCACCCGAAATTTGAACTCATACCACCCAGAGAAACCGGTATGCCCCCCCCCCCCCCATCCTATTCAACAAACGGTATGCGCGCGCACTCGTTGATCAAATATCATAAAATGCCAGGAATCACTAGCAAAAAAACGAACTGCGCACGCGCTCGTCGTCGCGCACGCATGCTGAAATCCTTCCAAAACCTCTGGTGTCGTAAGGATTGCAAACAAGAGTGTCCAACAACACATATAAAACACGAGGCTTCGCAACGCGGACCTTAAAAAAACTTGCGCGCGCGCACTCTTGCGAATTCTTGTTTTAAGCAGCCATCGGCTAACAATTTCATAACTCGCTACCAGACGGGCTTCGCGCGCGTGCATGCCGAAATCGTTCGAACGCCCTTGCGCGCGTGCCGTTGCGAGAACCCTGTGCAAACAATAAAACGGAGTGCACGCGCGCGCGTCGTCGCGCGCGTATGCCGAAATCCTTACGAAACCTCTGGCGTCGCAAGGATTCTTAAACCGAGTTTCCAGAACACATATAAAACACATGGCTTCGCAACAACAGTTTTCAAAGCAAGCGTGCGCTCGCGCCCGTGCGAACTCGTCGGGGAACCATCGGTGTCTCAACATGTTGGCGGGATTATGCCAAGCGGGCCCCTGGCGCCGCGTGCCGACATCATCCGCGCGCCCTTGCGCGCGCGCTCGGGAGGCACAATCCGTGTCCAAGAATACCGCGCGGCCCACTCTAGCGCGTCGGCCGCGCGCGCATGTCGAAGCCTTTCCAAAACCTTCATCGCCGACGCGAGAAAACCGTCGTCGTTGTCTGCGCGATCAGCATCGGCGCCCGCACTGGCCGCGCCGTCGGCGTTGTCAGCGTCGTCACCAGCATCGCTACGATCATCGTCGCGCCCACCGATGTCGACTATGCCATGATTTCGCGCCCGCCGAACTCGCTCTGAAGTGCCCGCTGGACTGTGCCCAGCGGTCAGCGCCACCGCGGCCGCGTCGGTCGCGCTCAACAAGCTGGCCGCTGCGCGCGCGCCTGGGTCGGCGCGGCAACAGAAAAGGGGCCCATCGCAATCGCCGCCGCGTGGTTTTGCTCACCAAGTTGCGGGTGGGCGGCCGGGGTGATTGCGCGAGCAGTGGAGGTGGTCAAGCGCGGCTCAGGGCAGTCAATGGCACCGCGTAAATTGCACGATATAAGCTGCACCACGCTGGTAGCATCACACAGATTGCCCCTGATATACTGCACAAAATGGACTACGCGACGCACGTCGTTCCATTCATATGCCACCACAGAGGCTGCACAACATAAGTGGCACGCATTGCGCAGCGCACGTTCCACAGCATCGGATGCGCCCCACCACGATTGCACAACATAAATGGAACCGCATCGGTTCTCTTATACATATATATATATATATGTATAGAACGCACGAATCGGATCGACCAGCCCCCGCCCGGGATTATCCACCCGCCTTGTTGCATGGCAACTTACATATGACTCTGCTCCATCGCCCATCGTGACTATGGACTCATGACACCCCAGCGCCACTGGCATCGACACCCCCCGACATCCCCTACAACGGCTACTATGCGCATGCATGCGCTCTTTTTCTTTGCAGCAAACGGGGCGAAGTGCACATGCGCGCGCGCGTAGTCGCGCGCCGCGCGCGTGCCAGAATCCCCTGGGAACCTTGAATTTCGCAGGGGTTCAAAGTCGAGCGCCCCGAAAACATAGAAGGAAACTTAGCTTTGCAATCTCGGTTTTCCACAGCATAACATGTTTGCGCGCGCGCTCTTGCGAATGCTCAGTGCAACTACGTTTACAAGCGACTCCGCCACGTCTTAGCGAGCGTTTTTCTCGCGCGCGCGTGCCGGAACCATTGGAACTCCCTTGCGCGCGTGCTGGGGGGCGCGATCCCTCTCGCAAAGTACAGCGCGGGCCACTCGCGCGCGCGGGCCGCGCGCGCGTCGATGCGCTTCCATGACCTTCAGCATCGACGCGATCGGCATCGGCGCCGTCACTGGCCACGCCGCCGTCGCCGTCATCCCTGCCGCAGTTATCGCTGCTATCACCGTCGCGTCCACCGCTGCGGGCGTCGCCGCGATGCCGCGCCCGCCCAAGTCACCGACCACCTAGAAGTGCCCGCGCGTCAGACCAGCCCCGCGGCGCGCTGGGAAGTTCCCAGCGGTCAGCGCGACGCGGTCGCGTCGGTCGCGCCGCGCTTGCCTGCCGCCGCGCGCGCGAGCGCGCGCGGGCCAGCGCGGCCGCGGAGAGGCACCGGCTAGCGCCGAGGACCCATCGCAGTCACCGCCGCGTGGGTTTTTGCAAACCAAGTTGCGGGTGGGGGGCCGGGGTGGCTGCGCGAGCGGGGGAGTTGACAAGTCCAAACCAATCCAAAGTGGCTCTCTCTCTCTCTCTCTCTCTCTCTCTCTCTCTCTCTCTCTCTCCTCTCTCCTCTCTCTCTCTCTCTCTCTCTCTCTCTCTCTACCAACTATGAGGGCCTGCCCCCCCCCCCCCCGCGCTTCATGGGCCCCCCTTCGCCTCAAAATTTGCGCGCGATTCCGCCCCGTCGCCCATCCCAAATATGAGCTCACATCGGCGCCCCCCCTTCCTCTGCGCAGAATGCGATGCGCGCGCTCGCTAATCGCGAATCGCCAGTTTGCAAGAGGCCAACAGAAACGGGGGGAAGTGCACGCGAGCGCATGCCGAAATCTTTCAGACACTCCAGGTGTCGCGCGGATTTTGAAACCGAGCGCAACGGAAACGTGGAACACCTGGTTTCGAAAAATTTGAATCTCCCCACAAGCTTGCGTTCGGGCCCCTGCGCATTCTCGAACAAAGAACATAGCTTTTTTTCTTTCAATTTTTCATTATGTGCACGCAACCAAAAAGGCCTCTCGCGCGCGCCGGAATCGCTCGAGCGCCCTGGCGCGCGTGCTGTCGCATGAACCCCGCGCGCAAAAGTTGGCTGAAGTGGGCGCGCGCGTGACGTCGCGGACGCGCGCGGAAACCTTTGAACAAAAACAGTAGTTGTCGCGACGATGTCAAGATCGAGCGCAACCAATGTAAACACACATGGTTTTGCAACATCAACGTTCAGAAATGCTTGCGCCCGCGCTACTGCGAATTCTGACGAACACTACCAGTCTCTCAAGATGCGCGTTCAATTCGGCCAAGCGGGCCCCTCGCGCCGCGCGCCGAAATCATTCGAACTGCCTGGCGCGCGCGCTTTGGAGGGGGAGGGGTCGATCTGCGTCGAATAATACCGCGCGGGCCACCCTCGCGCGCCGGCCGCGCGCGCGAGCGCCGAGCTCCCTCCAGAACAATCATCCCCGACGCTAGGGCGCCGTCATTTTCGTCGGCGTGATCGACGTCGGCGCCGTCGCTTTCCTTGCCGTCGCCGTTGTCATCATCGCCGCCAGCATCGCTACCGTCGTCATCGCGTCTACCTCCGTCAACGTTGCCATGACACCGCGCCCGTCCAAGTCGCGGACTCGCGCAGAAGTGCCCGCTGGGAGATGCCCGGCGGCCAGCGCAGCCGCGGCCGCGTCGGTTGCGCCAGACTATCTGGCCGCCGCGCGCGCGAGCATGCGCGGGCCGGCACGGCCGCAGAGATGCGCCAGCCAACGCCAAGCACTCATCGCGATCGCCGCCGCGCGTGTTTTGAATGCCAAGTTGCGGGTGGGAGGGTAGGATGACTGCGCGAGCAGTGGAGTGGGCAACTCACTGCGAATGTAATAGAATGTCCCCCCGTCCTCTGCGCTTAACGTTACCCCCTTTCTTGCATTGCAATGCGCATCTGATTCTGCTCCATCGCCCATCCTGCAATACATATTCCTGTCGTCCCAGACAGGCGGGTATCGCCGCCCCCTTATCCTCTGCAACAAATGTTATGTGCGCGCGCACGTTTATCAAACATCACTAGTTTTCATGAACCCCGTGCGAAAGAGCAGGGCGAAGTGCACGCGCGCGCGTCGACGCACGCGCATACCGAAATCCTTCAACAACCATAGGTGTGCACGGACGTCAAAATCGAGTGCCCCGAAGGCATGTAAAGACACGTGGTATCGTCACAAGAATCCAACAAACCTGCGCCCGCGACCTTGCGAATTCTGATATAAAACATAAGCTCATCATCATTTCATACATTCTACCAACTGTGCCTCTCGCGCGCGTGCTCTCGCAGGACACCCCTGCAAACAACTGACGACATGCATGCGCGCGCGCCAAGGCGGTTGCATGCCGGAGTCCTCGAAAACTGCGGGCTTCGCACGGATTTCGCAACCGAGTGCCCCGAAAACATATAAACACCAGATAATTTTGCAACACCAATTTTCAAGCAAAGTTTGCACTCGTGCTCCTGCGACTTCTTCTAACAAGCACCGTAAGTTTGCAAATCCGCATTCAATTCGGCCAAGCGGGCCTCTCGCGCCGCATGTCGAAACCATTCGAACGCCCTTACGCGCGTGCTGGGCGGGGGCACGATGCGTGTCAACGAATGCTATGCGGGCCGCTCTCGCGCGTCGGCCGCGCACGCATGTCGAATTCCCTCCAAAACCAAAACCTCCCCCACCGACGCGAGGATTCCGTCATCGCCGTCGGCGTGATCAGCATCGGCGCCGTCGCTGGCCTTGAGCCGTCGTCGTCATCAGTGTCACCGGCACCACTACCATCATCGTGTCTACCGTTGTCGGCGTTGCCATGATACCGCGCCCGCCCAAATCGCCGCCTCGCACTGAAGTGCCCGTAGGAAACTGCCAAGTGGGTCGGTGGCGCCAACTGGTTCGCGGCTGCGTGCGCGAGCATGCGCGGGCTAGCGCGGCCGCAGCGGAGCGCCAGCCAGCGCCGAGCAGACATCGGAATCGCCGCCGCATGGGTTTGCAAACTGAGTTGCGGGTGGGTGGATTGGGTGGTTGCGCGAGCAATGGAGTTGGCAAGTTGAAGTTCGGCAAGGTGAGTTGCACCACGGAGATTGCATAACATGGCTTGCCTGAAACACACCGTTTGGGGCCTACGCTGGCCAACATCTCCACTTTCTCCTCCACATCCTCCCACTCCTCTGTGCCTCCCTCCTCCTCCTCCTCCTCCTCCTCCTCCTCCTCCTCCTCCTCCTCCTGTTCCTGACCACCCTCATCATCTCTTAATCCCCCTCCCTCACCTACCCCCCTCCTCCTCCTCCTCCTCCTCCTCCTCCTCCTGCACCTCCTGCTCCTGCTCCTGCTCCTGCTCTTGCTTCTCCTCCTCCTCCTCCTCCTCCTCCTCGTTCTCCTTCTCCTTCTCCTCCGCTTCGTTCGGGGCCCGATCGCTAGACTTGGGCTCTCTGAGTCCGGCGCACTCCATGGGCAGCTGCCGCCGGAACCACAGGAGGCTCAGCACGCCGCCGACCCCCATGTCCTCCTCAAACACCTGCGAGATGGAGACGCCACCTCGGCAGGTCGACTAGGGGTGGGGTGGGGAGGAGGAGGGGGAGCAAGGGAAACATGTTAAGGAGGAGGAGGGGGAGGAGGAGGAGGAGGAGGAGGAGGAGGAGGAAGAGGAGGAGGAGGAGGAGGAGTTGCAGGAGGAGGAGAAAGAGAAGGGGGAGGAGGTGAGACAGGCAGGAACTCGTGAAGAGGTGGCGGAAGAGGGGGACGATAGGGAGAGGAGCAGGGACGAGGAGAAAGGAATGAATGAATGAAGACGAGGGGAGGGCGGGGTGAGGAGGAGGAGTAGGAGGAGGAGGAGGACGAGGAGGAGGAGGAGGAGGAGGAGGAGCAGCAGCAGGAGCAGCAGCAGCAGCAACCGCAGCCGCAACCGCAGCATCGGCAGCAGCAAAGAGAAGAGTGGCGCAGGAGGACGAGATATGCTGAGACGAACACGGGAGGACACGCAGGAGTAGGAGGAGGACGAGGAGGAGGAGGAGGAGGAGGAGGAGGAGGAGGAGGAGGAAGACGAGGAGGAGGAGGAAGACGAGGAGGAGGAGGAGGAGGAGATCCTCCTCCGAAATGATGATGCCACCTCGTGTGGGCCAGCCCCTCCTCATCCTCCTTCTCAACCTCCTCCTCCTCTCCCTCTCCATCTCCCGCCCCATCCCTCTCTACCCCACCTGCTTTTCCCTTCCCTTTTACCCTCTCCCCTTGATCGCGCTTTCTTCAACCGTCTCCCATATCATCGTTACTCTCCCTACCCCTCTGTCCCTGTCTCCTCTTTCCCCCTGTTCCCCCAACCCGTCCTGCTCAGCCACCTGCCCGGCCGATAGCCCCCGGATCCGGGACCTCCCATCCTACCTGCCGCACGCAATTCGGAGTGTCAGCCCTTGCTCTCGACGTGGGCCTTCTGCCGCCCACGCTGCAAAAAACGCGTGGCGGGAGCGGGCGTGGCGCACAGCCGGCGCGAGAGGGCACCGTCGCCCCCGCCTTGGCGCCGCGCTCGGTGTGCCGGAGGGTGGGCCTCCCGCCAGGGCGCGGCCCGCGCGATCCACGCGCCCCCCTTCGTCGACGCGCGAGCGGGGCGTCACTCGCCACGTTTTCGAGCCACGCTCGCGCAGGCGACTCGTCGCCCTCCTCCTCCTCCTCCTCCTCCTCCTCCTCCTCCTCCTCCTCCTCCCCTCCTCCTCCTCCTCCTCTTCCTTCTTCTCCTCCTCCTCCTTCTCCTCCTCTTCCTCCTCCTCCTCGTTCTCCTTTTCTGCCAAGCCCATCTGCACTCTTCGCTCGGGAGTGGCGTTTCCCGAGCAGGCGTGGCGCGTGCTTCGTCATCCGAATCGCAGTCAAGCGGCAGCCGCAGCGGGGCGGCGCGACGTGTTGCGCAAGGCTGTCCGCGCAGAAGCGCCGCCCAGCTTGCGAGCGAAAGCGGCAGTGCCGTCTCGGCGCGGCGCATGCCGTGTCTCCGCCGCGCTCATCGGAAGTCGTGCCGCTCGCGCCCCTGCGCGGCCCGCGCGCAGGGTCCCCATCACCGAATCGTCGGACGCGGAACCGCGTGCGAGCGCCTTCCGTGCGATTTGTGGGAAGGCGTTCCAATCCCAACATCAAGTTGTGCCACAGTACACCCTGCGAAATGCTTTAGAAATCATGGGTTAAGAAATTCATAGTCTCAGAATTTGAATAAAAACCCAACATTTCCATCAAAATCTTGGGATTGACACTGAAACGTTAAGAATAATCGAGACTCTTGCCGAAAACTTGGGTTTTCTTAAGCATCGCCTGGAGTGTACGCTCGTGTCTCATGGGGGGGAGGTTCGGAACTGGCGGGCCCCGCTGACTCGCTCGACTGAGCCAATGCGCCCACATTCTCACCCCTCCTCCTTCTCGTAGAGGGGGTCGGGAGAAGAAGGAGGAACGGGGAGGAGGTGGGGAGGCTGGAGGGGAGAATGAGGCGAGACAACGGAGGAGGGAGGAGGGGAGGCGAGCAGGCGAGGAGGAAGGAGGGGCGACCGGGCGGGAGAATGGGCGAGGAGGGATGGGCGTAAGGTGGCGAAGGCTCAACACGGACTTCCTCCTGCCCCTTACTTGCGAGAAGGCTCAACACGGACTTCCTCCTGCCCCTTACTTGCGGCCGCACATGCTACGTTTCCTAAAAAGGACGCCAGCGACAGGGATTTCTGAGACCGGGGCGCTGCATCTGAGACTTGGATGAGTGCGAGTGCCAGCGTCATGCGGCGACCCTGTGGGCGAAGCCGAGCGGACTGGAGAAATCGGCAGCGCCGGTCTCAAAAGTCCCTTTCCCTGGGGTCCGTTTTGGAATTGCATGAGCAAGATTCTGCGGCCCCTTCCGCCCGGCCTCCGACGGGACGAAAGGGGGGAGGCCGCCGCCTCCGTGCCTCGAAGGGGGAGGAGCCCCGTCTGGAACGGCCCCCCAGGCGTGCCCGAGGCCTCCGCCGCCCCTCCCGATGCCTCCCTGGGCCCACCTCCTCCCGCCCTCCTCGTCCCTCCTCGTCCCTCTCTGCTCAGGGTTGCCTCGCCCTTGCTCTCCCTCTCGCGTGCTTCCGCCTCTCCTCGATGCCTGCATCCTGGACGCCCTCCTCCCTCCTGTCTCCTCCTGCATCCTGCCACTTCCTCCTCCTCCTGCTCCTCCTCCTGCTCCTCCTCCTCCTCCTCCTATTCCTCCAATTCCTCCTCCTCCTCCTCCTCCTTCTCCTCCTCCTCCTCCTATTCCTCTCACTCTCTCCTCCTCGTCTCTGATCCTCCATGCGTTCTCCTCGTTCGACCCTCCTCCTGTCCCTCCTGGCCTCGTCCCTTCCGTCCTGGTGCCCATCCTGGCCTCCTCCTGCGGCTGCTGCTGCTACTCCTTCTTCCTACACGCCCTCGCTATGCCCTCCTCCTCCTCCTCCTCCTCCTCCTCTCTCCTCCTCCTCCTCCTCCTCCTCCTCCTCCTCCTCCTGTTGTTTCTCCTGTTCCTCCTTCTCCTTCTCATCCTCCTCCTTCTCCCTTCCTCCTCCTCCTCCTCCTCCTTCTTCCTCCTCCTCCTCCTCCTCCTCCTCCTCCTCCTCCTCCTCCTCTTTCTCCTCCTCCTCCTCCTGCTCCTCCTCCTCCTTCTCCTCCTGCTCCTCCTCTGGGGCGTCCTCCTCCTCCTCCTCGTCCTTCTCCTCCCGCCCACCCCTGCCCTCTCTCCTGGAGAGGGACAGACTGGGGGCGCCACAATACTTGAGCTCCTCGCCCCGGTCGTCGGAGATCGACGAGATAAAGCTGGCTGGCTTGCGGACGAGGCCGAGGGACTTCGCCCACGTGTAGTCCATCGGCACCGCGGGCGTTTCGCCCTCCACCTGCCGCTGCCGCCGCTCGTCCTCCTCGTCGTCGATGCTGCCGTCGCTGCTGCCGTCGGCGACGTCCTCGTCCTCGTCCTCGTTTCCGTCATCGTCGTCGTCGTCGTCGCTAATCTCGTCGAGGTCATCGCCCTCCTCCCATGGCTCCTGCTCTGGCTGCTGCTGCTGCTGCTGCTGCTGCTGCTGCTGCTGCTGCTTCTCCTCCTCCTCCTCTCCCTCCTCCTCCTCCTCCTCCTCCTCCTCCTCCTCCTCCTCCTCCTCCTCCTCCTCCTCCTCCCCCTCCTCCTCTTTCTCCTTGCATGTGGTCCGAGCGCGACACGGTCGGTCTACACGTCGGGCCGCGGCCGCGGTTCGCCCGTGCCACCCGGCCCGCAGCCGGGCAAGGGCAGCGCCTGCCGCGCCCGCGCACCGCCGAGTGGCCGACGGGGGCGTAGGCGGAGAGCGAAGGCTACGGCGATGGGCCTGTTTTCCACCACCACCACCACCACAACCATGAGTTGGAGGGGGAGAGGAGGACGAAGAGGGGGAGGAGGAGGAGGAGGGAGAGGAGGAGGAGGAGAGGAGGAGGAGGAGGAGGAGGGGAGGGGGAGGAGGAGGAGGAAGACCCCCTCGCCTCCAACTTCTGGTGGTGGTGGTGGTGGAAGACAGGCCCATCATACGATCGCATCGCGAAGTCGGATCGGGTCGGGCATGGATCGGATCGCCAGCGAAGCGTCCCGGCGCGGATCGGGATCGGATCGCCGCGCCCCGCTCCGGCTGGCCCCAGCCAGGGCTGGTGACGCAGGCCAAGCCGAGTCGGAGCGGAATCGCTGGCCCAGTCCGCGAATCGAGTCGCATCGAATCGCATCGTGGGCAGCCCTCCTGGCAGGTCAGCAGCAACAGGGACGGCGAGGCTCGCAACGAGACGGCGGATGGAGCAGCGAAGGACACGACCATCGAGATGATCAAGAACACGGCACGGTGAAGAGAGGAAGGCACAGCATCCCCATCAGCTCACGACACAAGCGGGCCCAGAGCAGCCAAGACAGCATGGCAGAGCCTGGGCATCGTGGGACCTCACTGGGGTGATCCCTCTACCCGAGAGCGACTTTCATCTCGCATCCGCGAGAGGCCCCCGCATCGCGGGGAAGACCGAACGGACCTCACCCCAGTTCGCAGATCCTGGGATCGCGGAGGCCTCGGGACACCACCCGGCCCATCGGGCCGAGACAGCAGCGGCCCCAAGGCCACCTGGGCATAGTGCTGGCGGGATCACTCGAACCAGCCTAACAGAGTATCGTTCGACCGATCCCCATCCCCGGCGGCGTGGCCTGGGCCTCACTGGCCGATTCACCCCCCTAGATGGGGATATATAGGACGTTCCCTTCGGGTTTCGAGGGGTGTACCCCCAACTGGGGTGGTGATTTGGTGGGGGTCTCGAAGGGGATGGGGATGGGGATGGGGATCGGTTAAAAGATACTCCAGATTTCGTGATTAAAGGGAGGGGGTCCCAACCCTCCCAGACGAGAAGCTTTAGAGCCCCCCAGACCATCCATGAAAGGGCTGCCCTTTGCCCAGACCCCCCCCAACCCTCCAAGACAGCTCAAATCAGACCCCCCCCCAAATGTGACCCCCCCGCCTTTATTATGGAATACGGAGTACGGACTAGCCCGCATCTCTACGCTACGAGGAGGGCGATGGGGAGGTGGAGGCAGAGGCCACGAGATCCTGGGCGGTCCCAGGCGCAATCGACCCAGCACGACCCGGGGCAGCTGCGCGGGCGAGCAGCGGCCGCGACCCGAGCAGTGGGCAGACCCTGCTGCGCCCAGGCCGAGTGCGAAGAAAATAACGTCCTCTTCCTGGCGCTCCCCCTCCTCCCTCCTCCCTCCTCCCTCCTCCCGCCTCCTCCTCCTCCTCCTCCTCCTCCTCCTCCTCCTCCTCCTCCTCCTCCTCCTCCTCCCCCTCCCCCTCCCCCTCCCCCTCCCCCTCCACCTCCCCCACCCCTTTCTCCTCCTCCTCCCTCTATCTCCTTACTCTTCCCTCCCCGTGCCCTCGCCCCTCGCACTCCCTGCGCTCCTCGCTCCCCGCCCCTCCTCCCTGCCCCAGCCCTCCTCCTCCTCGCTCCCCTCCTATTGCCCCCCTGCCGTCTCCACCCTCCGCCCCCTCTGCCCCTCGCTCCCCGCTCGCTCGTGCGTTCGCTGCTCTTTCCCTGGGCCCCCCTGCTACTTCGCGCCCTCGCCCCTCCCCCCCCTCCCTCGCCTCTAGTTCCCTCGCCCCTCGTCACGACCCAGTGACACCTTCCCTCCTTCATCCCGCCTCATTCTCATCCTCCTCCTCCTCCTCCTCTTCTTCTTCCTCCTCCTCTTTCCCCTCTTTCTCCTCCTGTTTCTCTTCGTCCTCCTTTTTCTTCGTCTCCGCCTCCTCCTCCTCCTCCTTCTCCTCCCCTCCTCATCCTCCTCGTTTGCTTCCTCCTCCTCCTCCTCCTCCTCCTCCTCCTCCTCCTTCTGCTCCTCCCTGCTTCACAAATGCTCAGCATGAACGCTCATCTTCGTGTCCGCTCGGATTCCGTGCCAGCTGGGTGCCGCGTCTCCCGCACATTCAACGCATCGGGTTCCGTGCGGTGGTTCTCCAAATTGCAATTCCTGCTGGGCGCACGCTCTGTTGGCTTCAAAACGGTGTGCTCCCGCTGTAGCGTTGGCCTCGGATCAGGCTCGGCGTTCTGCCCTCGCCGTTCAGGACGGCGCCCTGGCCCCTTCGCGCGCCACGTTTCTTGATCCAACTCCTTCCTCGTCGTTGTCCCCCCCTGCTTTCCCCTCCTCCGTCTTCCCCCAATGTGCTCCTGCTTGTCCCGCTCCACCTATTGGTCCTGCTCCTGCTGCTGCTTCTCCTCCTTCCGCATCCTCCTCTTCTTGCTGCCCATGAACCACCACCACCTCCTCCTCCTTCTCTTCGTCCTCTTTCTCTTCTTCCTCCTTGTCCTCCGATGTACGCAACTATTCGCTTGATCCGCGAGAAACGCGATGGGTCAATTGTCGATGGAAAGAGAGAAACCATCAGCGCAAAACAAAAGGATGGGTGGGGCGGGCTAGAATGTCAGACATGGCGCGCACACGTCTAGCTTGGCCTGCTCGTTCTCTCCCCCTCCCTCCTCGCACCTGGCTGCCTCCGTCCAGCCGTCTGTCTTCCGGCCTCCTTTCGTTACTCCCTCATCCCCTCCTTCCTGTCTCCTTCTCCGCCCGCCTGCTCGACGATCGTGCCTTCGAGAACTAGCTTAGTGTATGTCTCGAGGATTACATCCGGCAACTTGTCGAAAGAGTCCGGCCTTGCAAGCCGTGCTCGGAGGGAAGAGGAGCAGGAATAGGAGGCGGTCGATAACGATGATGACATTGATGATATTGATGATGATGATGCTGATGATGATGCTGCTGCTGCTGCTGATGATGATGACCGACGATGCTGGTGAAGGAGATGCTGATGCTGATGCTGATGCTGATGACGATGACGGTGATGATGCTGATGCTGATGATGGTGATGATGATGGTGATGATGATGGTGATGGGGATGATGAGGAGGAGCAGGAGGATGCTGCTGTTGCTGAAGCTGCTGATTAGGATGGTGATGATGACGCTGATTTCGATGCTGATGGTGCTGATGTGGATTTTGATGTCGTTGATGAGTTTGATGATGATGATGATGCTGATGATGACGGTGGGTAGTGTGATGATGATGCTGATTACGATGACGACGATGATGATGATGCTGATGATGATGCTGATGATGATGATGCTGATGATGGCGATGATGATAGTGATGGAGGATGAGAGGAGCAAGAGGAGGAGAAGGACGAGGAGGAGGAGGAGGAGGAGGAGGAGGAGGAGGAGGAGGAGGAGAAGGAGGAAGAGGCTAGGAGGAGGAGGAGGAGGAGGAGAGGAGGGGGAGGAAGAGGACGAGGAGGAGGAGACGTGGAGGACGATATGGGCGAGGAAGGCGAAGGAGAGGGGAGAAGGGGGATGCGTACGAGGGGGGGTGCAATACAGGAAGGAGTGGAGGAGGGGGGAAGGGTAGTGCTGGAGGAAGAAGGTGGAGACATGGATGATGATGATGATGATGATGATGATGATGATGATGATGATGATGATGATGATGATGATGAGGATGAGGAGGAGGAGGAGGGGAGGAGGAGGAGGAGGAGGAGGAGGAGGATGAGGAAAATAAGGAACGATGGTTGAGCCGTCGCAATGCGCTGGAGAGTTTGGCTCCCGCAGTGTGGGGGGGAGGCGGGCGGGGCCCGCCCGACACGCTACGCGGGAGACCGCGGCTGCCGCTCCTGCCCCTTCTCCTCCTCCTGTTCTTGCTCGCCCTCCCGCTGCAGCTCCACGTTTTACTATCTCGTCACTCTCGCGCCTCCTGCTACTACTGCTGGTGCTGCTGATGCTGCTCCTGTTGCTGCTGCTGCTCCTGATGCTCCTGATGCTCCTCCTCCTCCTCCACCTCCTCCTCCTGCTCCTGCTCCTGCCCCTCCTCAGTATTAATCGCCGTTTCCTACTACTATTTTAATTATTAATAATAAGGATAATAATAATAACATTATTATTATCATTATTCTTCTTCTTCTTATTATTATTATCATCATGATTATTATTATTATTAGTAGTAGTAGTAGTATTATTATGATTATTCTTATCCTCGTCCTCGTCCTCCTCCTCCTCCTCCTCCTCTTCCTCCTCCTCTCCTCCACCTGCCTCCTCCCTCCTCTGTCCGCTGTTCTCTGTCCTCTGTCCTCTGTCCTGCCTCCTCCTCCCTCCTCCCTCCTCCCTCCTCCCTCCTGCCTCCTGCCTCCTGCCTCCTGCCTCCTGCCTCCTCCCTCCTGCCTCCTGCCTCCTGCCTCCTCCCACCTGCCTCCTGCCTCCTGCCTCCTCCCTCCTCCTCTTCCCTCCTCCCTCCTCCTTCTCCTCCTTCTCCTCCCTCCTCCTTCTCCTCCTTCTCCTCCTTCTTCTCCTTCTCCTCCTCCTCCTCCTCCTCCTCCTCCTCCTCCTCCTCCTCCTCCTCCTCCCCGTTCTTTCCCCTCCTGACCGTCCACCCGCGCGCGCGCGCGCTCCAACGAGCGCGCGTGGGAAAGATGGGAGAGAGAGGCCGGGGAGAGGACGCGTGGTGGGTGGAGGTGGGAGGGGGGGGAGGAGAGGCGGGAGCGAGCGAGCGAGGGAATGGGTGGAGAGGGGGAGTGAACGAGGGAGGAGATGTGAGAGAGAGAGGGTGAGGGAGGAGAAATACATATGTATTCGATGCATGTGTATACAGATGCGCAAACATCCACATATATACGCACCTCTCTCTCGCTCTCTCTCTCTATATATATATATATACACAGATCTGTTATCAGAAGCGCCTGTCCGAAGGACTAGAGCTCACAAGGGATTGGTGCGTCCGACGTTTGACTTCTCTGGCCAGCACGCTCGGGACATCCTCAAGATTCTGAGAACGGACGCGCCCCTCACACAGATCGTGAAAGACAAGTTCCAAACACACGTGAGTTTTCGACCTTGTAACATAACACCTTCAAACACACAATGTGTTCTCCATGATGGTGGGCCCGATTCTCAGAGAAACCATTTCGCTCGAGACATCCTCCCGAAATTGAGCCGAAGCAGCCCAAGAGTGCGAGACAGCAGGTTTGAGCTCCCTAGGGAGTGGCGGATCGCAGACCTTCTCTCCTCCGAAATCGGAGCTCTGCGAAGCAGGCCGTGCAAGCACAAACGCTGCTCGGCGCCAGGGGTCACGCTTCAAAAACGTGGGGGGCCCGCCTTCCCAAACGTGAGGTTAGTGCTGGCCGTGATCCCTTTTCACTAGCTCTCTCAACTCCGAGGTGGGGGGCTTTCCCTCCCCGTCCTCCTCCTCCCCCAGTCTCCTCGACCTCCTCCTTCTCCTTAGTTCCCCACCTCCCTTTCATTCCTTCGCCTCCTGCTCGTACGCCGACTTCTGCTCTCCGCCTCCCCCCTCCTGCTCCTCATCCTCCTCCCTCTGCTTCTTCGCCTCCAGCTGGTCGTCGCCTTCTTCGTCGCCGTCCTCTTCCTCCTCGGGGGCGTCCAAGCCAAGAGGGGGAGGCTTCCAAGAGGGGGGATGCGCATCATGGCCGGAGGCATGTGCGTGGAAGAGAGGTGGGCTTGGGGACGCATGGAAAGACATACGAACATACACATTAAACATACGGGCAGTAATAACACTATTCGAAATACTAACACCAGGTAATCATAAGAAACATCAGACTAAGAATGCACATACCACTACACATAAGATTCCTACCACTAGTGACCGTAAAACTACTACCACTACTACTACTACTACTACTACTACTACTACTACTACTACTACTACTACTACTACTACTACTACTACTACTACTACTACTACTACTTACTACTACTACTTACTACTACTACTACTACTACTACTACTACTACTACTACTACTACTACTACTACTACTACTACTACTACTACTACTACTCTCTACTACTACTACTACTACTACTACTACTACTAC